GAAATCCTGTCGAGAACGAGGTTAGGCTTAACCAGTCGTAATCGTTACAATTTGGCTGGGTTCTTCTGTTGACTCGCAATCAGTCAAAGCTGCTACAACCATTTTACCGCCATGCAATTAATAAAAATCACTTCCCAATCACCAACACAAATGTACGTAGATGCTGGGATAATGGGGGTCTCATCAGAAAGAAATGCTCCACAGGGCCTGTGGATTATTATTCATGACTTCTATCCCGCCTCTTGCTCTGAACACTGTCACCAATAGAAACCCTGATTGTCAAACAATTCAGCATAGAAGACTTGTGGCAAATGTTGCAAGTGCACTCACGGTCCATGTGCAGATTTCCACCCACCCGGGGACTCTTGTCGTACAAACACTGGAGAGCCGCTGCACATAAAGAGAATCCTGTTCTCAGGGCTCGATTTCGACAGACCTGCTCATACAAGAGCGCATGCGAGAGCAATATCCATATAACTCCTGGTTGATGAACCAATGCAAACACAGCCATCAGAATAAAGGCAATGTCTGCGATAACTCCAACTAAGCTTGACATGTGCAACCAGAGCTGCACTGAAGAGTATACACATGCTGCTTGACCAGACAGCAACAAAGAATTCAAGGTGAGCCCGCACACCTGGCAGGAGGGGATGGCAGAGAAGCGGGGAGAGATGGCGGAGGAGGATCCTCAGATTTCGTTGACGATCGTCCAAGCCGCTTTTCGAGCTCTGCCATTTTAGCCTCCATGTTCTCCCAGGTAACCCGCTCCTTGCTTGGGGAGTAACCCAAAATCTCCCGCTTCCCATCATCCTGTTGTAAGATGCTATAAGTGCCAAGAGGCAGGCTGCTGAGGGCACAGCAGTCAAAGGAAAGGAAAGCTCCAACATCTGCTACCTCTATTCCGTCTGTTAAGAGTAGGGACAACGAGAAACCATCTTCTCTAAACAAACTGGGCTCCTTAAGTACAGTGGATAAGGCTAGGACAAAGACAATGTTCAAAACTGTGTGATGCTGATACAACCAAAATCAAACCTCATTCAAGGAACCCGCTTAACCAAGGAGCCCTTGTATACTCGGAACATATCGATGGCTCATTTTAGAAGGACTACTTAAGGATGTTCAACCTGTGTAAGCCACACCATGAGATAGTGACAAGGGCCGCCGTGTACCTTGATTTCATTCCTGCGGACCATCTCAGAAAAGAGACTGTAAGGAACTTTATTAAGGAACTCAGAAGCACTGCAAGGGAAACAGCTATACTTGGTTGATTGAACAATACTCACCTGCAGCTCCTTCAGTTGCTTCAGACAATTCTGCAGATGCTCCAGATACGTTTGGCGACCGTTCAAGCACCCCTGAATACACTCAGCAGGCAACTGGTCCGCCTGCAGTCACAACAGAGAGCTGATTATCTCCGTCATCCTTCAATACCCACGGACGAGACCTTTGAAGGCGCCTCTTGCACCACATGAACAATCGTCCACGAGGTTTAATAACTGTTCGCCGGCAGCTCCGCCGTTCCCACCCATGCAAACAAAAGGGCCAACCAACAGCACAAACATTGCCACGCATGTCGGATCTTACAGGGCCGATCTTAAGGGCTGGGATCTCAGAAGGCCAAAATTGAGTTGCTTGGCTTCCATAAGGAGACTGGTGGCAAACTGACTTGACTCATGTCAAAGATACAAAAACCTGGTTACTCTGTTCTGATGATCAAACCCTTACAAAAATGTCAAAGCTTCTCAATGGGGCCGCTTTTTTGAACAAATGGTCACCAATCCTCGCAGACCCTGCAAGCTTTTTGACGAGGTATTCCCATGAGCAGGTCCTTAACATCACGTCACATCACTTGTTATAGCTCATAGCGAAGGGCAAAATGCTGAAGAAATTCTTATCAGCGTGTTCCAGGAAGCGAGGCTGCTTCGCTGGGTGTGATCCAGGCAGTCCCGATTCAGCAGTCCTGTAGCACCCCTTTACATCCTGTGCTGTAAAAGTCACCCCACGATTTTCACATAGGAAGAAAGACGTGTCAACTTACCTGCCCGTCCGCAAATTTGCAATCCTTCGCAAGGTCCTTGACATCCTCCTCAAGATTTTCGACAAGGGAGCTCAGGGTGTTGACGTGATGTTGCACTTCACGTCTGGATTTGGTCCAGAAACGTTTATCCGCCACCTTCGCCTCCGCAACCAATGTCTCAGCCTCCTTCTTGGCTTCTTCCGGAGAGTACGCCTTATCAAGCGACTCCGCAATGAGCTTTCTGTCTGGCAAATTTTCCGTCAGGATTCCTCCAACCTGGCTTCCGAACCTCTTCACCAGCACTGGTTCGGCCCCTTTTCCGCCATTTGAAGCTATCACTTGCTGACCGCCAACGCGAAGGTCAAGAAACGATGCAAGTCAATAGAAACTGTAGACTTCTGAACCAGCTGGCGCAGCCTCAGCTCCTCATGCAGGCAGGAGGCAGGAGTGCAAGGAGGCCGCCAGCTCCTCGATCCGACCTGCTCAGAACCTCCATACTGTTCAGTAACTAGACTAGAGTGCCTTGCATAAGGCGCACCTTGAAGGGTGCGTGGGGCGTGCACGTCCTTTTTCGATCGGACGGCTGTATATCAATCGAGCCGAGTCACGATGATCTGGTGACCTCGATACAGGCCGGACGGCGGAGATGCCATTGCATAGTGAATCGCGGACCGCGCGGTACCACAGATACAGTACCTTTAGTCGGAAGGGTACCGCGGGCGGACAGTGACGTCATTGGCTATACCACCCGGTGAATTACAGTGCCGCATCATTCATGCAGAGCCTTCCGATTAGCGTGAGGGTTGTACTCTCTAGGAAGCCACACCTACCTGCCAACCCCCACCATGGCGGAAATCAGCAACTAGGGTGGAGAGCAACGATACACCTGGCAGCCATGCTCATGCGCGCGCACAAGTCACACGTATGACGTCATCTCCGCACGGCTCCGCAGGCTATCTACGCAGCGGAAGCATAACGTGGCGAGCCCCTTTGTACTCGGCACAAATCTGCTGCACACATGCTCTTAAGTGTCCCATACCACTTAAGTGCAACCAGGGGCTGGCCCTGGCAGCCCGCACACTATGCAGCTATAAACGCTGGCTCCCCGGAGCCACACATCAGTTCCCCGCTCACAGCATGACATCCCCGCATGAAATCCTATCACACTAAGCACGCTGGAATTGAGCGGAAGCAAAACACAACTGCGGGAGCCATAAACAGCTGCTCAAGACCTCAGCACAAGCGCCTCTCCTAGCAACTCGTCTCTCCGCAACTCCTAGAAGAATGTGTTTTTAACAAATCACACTTTCAAGCCCTCCTAAAGTTGCGTGTAACCAGGCCACCGCGGAGGGAGCCATAACGCAGCTCCCCTGGCCCCAAAGAGCGCCTCTCCAAGCGGCGTCCCTCCAAACAACTCCTAAGTCTAGGTATCAAGTCACACTCCTGAACCTACTAGGTCGATCCAAAGTCAGGGCACTGAGCGAAAACGATGCAACGAAAGTGCGTCTGTATGCTAAGCTAGCCCGGAGTCAGTCCGTGACCTAAAGTCAGGCTCCGGAACACACGTGTAGGATTTGGACCCTATTGGCCCGCGCGGAATAAAATCTGTGACGCCGAGAATCGAACAGCGAATCTAGTGGCAGAACGCAACCTGTCCCTATGCAATCGTGCGGCCAGGCACGCAACTACTGCGGAGAGGCCTGCCCGCAAAGTCTACTGAGCGGAACGCTCCGGAAAGTAGTCCCGCAGCTCCACGGAGTAGCCCGCAGCTCGGGCGGCCAGCTGCGGCTCTAGAAAAGAAGCACTACCCGAGCGCGCGCACGCCCTGTGTCCGCGCGCCGCGCGCTCGCACCCAAAGTCTCCCCCTAACTTCAACCCACGACCAGCTTGTTCCCCCGAAGTCCGGGTTGCTTTGCTCAAGCTCCGAGCTACGGACCTGGGACGCCCGGGCTCCTCGCTGCTCCGAGACGCTCCACCTCCATCCGGAAATCCCGGCTTTGCCCCCGGAGGCTCCAAAGTGCTCGGGGCTCAGCCTACTCGACTCCGGGGCGCCCTGGGTCTGCCTGGGTTCCAGACCAGGCTCCCCTAAGGTGACCCGCGGGCCGCCTGCGGGCAAGCACGGGCTGCCTGCGGGCTGCTTCGGATCCACTCCTCCTTGCCCTGGAGCATTCCGGAACCAGCCCGCCCTGCTCCGGAATCACTGCTCCGGAATCCGCCCTGGATCTGAGTCCGCATGCGCTGGGGTCCTCCGGAGTCGCGTGAGGTCCCGCCCACTTCGCACAAGGGCTTTCCGGACTAGCCTGGGCTCAATCCGCCCTCCTTTGATGCGTTCTGGGCTAAGACCCGCCCAGCTGCGGGGCTCCCTGGAATTCAACAAAGCTCAATGCGCTTTGTTCTGGCGCGTTCTGGACTCAAGTCCGCCATACACATTGATAGCGGCACAAAGAGACAGTGGGGATACCGTCCTTGCGAAAAGCGTCCCGGTGAGCCGTTGCTTTTGCAAGACTCTTTTTTTTCCGTTGGAGCTTTCAGAAGATCTTGAAAGCACTGTCCGCGCCGTCCGCGCTGTCTATGGAGACAAAACTGTAGTAGATGGCGCCTCTACATAGACAGCGCTGCTGTCCGTGCTCGGTGGGCTGTCAGCGAAAAGAAAGCAAAAAATTCAGAAGATCCTGAAAGCACTGTCCGCGCTGGCTGCGCTGTCCATGGAGACAAAACTGTAGTAGATGGCGCCTCTACATAGACAGCGTTGCTGTCAGCGCTTGGTGGCATAGATGCGCTGCTTTCAAAACGAAAACCGAAGTGAGGCGGACAATCTTCAAACCTTCAAAGGATATCGGTTCCTAAGATCCCACCACTTTGCTAAAATCAGTCAAGCTCAAATCCAACAATGCTGAACAGATTGTAAAACAAGTTACCCACCATCCGATCTGCACCAATCTCTCTTTCTTGGTCCGCACGACGATGATCATGGGCAGAGTCAACCTGCTGGAGGCGGTTGTCCAACATCTCCCGGTCCGACATGGTCTCTTCCTCGTCCTCTTCAGAGGTCTCGTCGTCAGCCTCTTCGCAGTCGTCCCCACCAGAAGACGCTGCTCGTTGCGACGAGGCTTCTGAGTCCTGCATGAAAGGAGTGCATGAAAGTTTTTTTTTTCACTTCTTGCTTTCCAAAAGTTGGCTTGCAATAAAAGTCGGCAGACTTGCCAGCCTAAGTGGCTTCACCACTGCAAAGCACCTGCTCGTTACATCGAGCTGTTCGATTTGACTCAAATATAGCTTGAAAAATGTAAACGGTGTGGCCTGTATGCTGGTGAAAAACGAACTGTCTGCACAGAAAGTCGAAGGCTCACAAGCGCTGACAGCAGTGCTGTCCATGGAGAGGCGCTATCTACTACGGTTTTTGTCTCCATAGACAGCACGGACAGCAAAGACAGTACGTCCGAGATGTCAGAGAATCTCAAACGTTATCAACAGTCAAAAATGTCTCAAGTGAGGACTGCGGAGCTAGACAATACTGCCGTCCATGGAGACAACCGTTCATTTAGAAAAGTGTCTCCATGGACTGCACGGACGGCGCAGACAATACTTTGCAAACCTCACAAAAAGTCACAGTCTACCAAGTGGAACGAGACATGAAGTAGATAATGAGAAGCTTTGCATGCTCTTACCGACTCCTCCCTTGCACCCGCCGTCTCACTCTCGACCACCTGCTCGCGACCTTCTCCACATGGCTCGCTCGCCGCACCAGCTTTGCCCCTTGCTTCGTCATGTTTGCGCTTTTTGCCCCTTTCCTGTGTGTGGTAGACAGAGAAGTGTTAGCTTTAGGGTCGTGACACTGCACAACAAACAGACATAGCAGAGCTTTTTAATTGAAGCTAAGAAAGCAAAGCACTTTTGTCATCAAAGACATAGTTTCGGAACCTCATCAAAGTACATCAAGGAGCTTCTTGGAAGAGCGTCACTGCACTCTGTGCAGTCCACGGAGAAGCATGGACAGCACTCCTCTTATCAAGCACGGAACCTGGTCAAAAAGTAAAGAAAAAAGAGAGCTTTTCAAAAGAGCCATCAGTGCTGTCCGTGCTGTCCACGAAGACAATTCCGTAGTAGAAGTTTTGTCTCCATGGACAGCACCACTGTCATCAAGCACGCAATGATTTTTGAGAGCTCAGAGAAAAATGAATAGAGGAGCTTCCCCAAAAGTGCCGTCAGTGCCGTCCATGCTGACCATGGAGACGAATCCGTAGTACAAGTTTCGTCTCCATGGACGGCACTCTTACCAACAAGCACGGGCTTTCCGCACACCATAACAGCAAAAGAGGTGAGACGGTACTCACCAGCGGGGCGTTCAAGTCAGCATCATGTGTCGCTTGGAAGTTGCGCTTGTTGTAGACGGGGGACGTTGGCACATAGGACTGCAAAGTGCATGTACGTATTTAGGACGATCTTTTCCAGACCTCCAGGCTGCAATCGGGAAAGTCCCGAAAAGTGGATCAAGCCAATATTGGACCTGCTAAGTAACCACAGCGACATCAAAGTGGCATTGCTGTGCTCTCTAAGCTGCGCATTGAAGCCTCCCAATCGGTGATGGATTTTTGACGAGCAGCGAAAGTGTACAGAGTACTCACATTTTGGCGGAAGTCGGAGCGCTCTGCCCCCTCCGCATTCGTGACACGTGCACCCTCTTCCGCAGCATCCCCTTCGCCAGCTAGCCCCAATGCGGGCTCAGCTGAGATGCCTTCAACGGCATTTTGGTCATCACCTCTGGTCCCCTACAAGGCAAAGCACGGCATTCAGGATGGCCATGCTTTGAGACATACTTCCTACAACTCTCTTTCAATTGAAAAAGGAGAGAGCTTTGATAGCAATCCCAACAACTGTGGGCTTTTAGATTTAGAACGAGCCCCAAGCCCTCTCACGAGATTTCACAAATGAGAATGTGCTTGATGACAGCCGTGCTGTCTATCAAGACACACTTTCTATCACAAAGTTGTCTCCATGGACGGCACAAACGGCTTGGACAGCAGTCTCACAAAGCCTGGGAGTTTCAATAATTTGGACAAGCCCCAAGTCCTCTTACACAGACAGAACTGCTCCAATAGACGCAAAGCTTATATATTTAGAAGGAACCGGACACAACTGTACACACTATGAGTTCATCTCACAAAAGGCTCCAAAAAGACAGATTTTTCGACAACCGTGCTTCCTATCGGGACAAACTTTCAACTACGAAGATTACAAGAGATGCCTACCTGCAAATCTTTGTTGCTCATGGAAGTCATGCCAGCTCTGTGCATTTCTTCCCTCAGCTTCTCTTGAAAATCCTTGAAGTCATCTAGGTTGACGAGCATCCTGCAGAACCAGAAAGAGAAGGTTTGGAAAACTCTCAGTACTCGGTAAAAAACACCGGGGACTTTGGAACTTCACACAGTGATGAATCTTCTCGTCCTCACAGGTCTTTCCTTTCATCAGTTAAATCACTAAAATTAGAGCTTGTTATCAAGCTGCCGTTATAGTGTAGTGGTTTCTTAGAGCCGGAAGCCTTTCGAGTCTGCGTGACAGCCCCCGGAAAAATGTGACACAAAAAGGACCTTGCAACGGGCCCTTCAAGCCCTGCGGGCCCTGGCCGCTTTCGGGATTGCTTGCAAAAAGCGGAACAGCCAAAATCAATCAGGGAAGTATACGGCTCCTGTTCGGCAATCAGATGTCTTCAATGCTAATTACGCGTTGAACTTGAAGTCCAATTCCGCTTAGCTGAGTGGTTGACATCTTTGCACAGAAAGCAGCAACACAAGCTCCAACGGAAAAAAAAAGAGTCTTGCAAAAGCAACGGCTCACCGGGACGCTTTTCGCAAGGACGGTATCCCCACTGTCTCTTTGTGCCGCTATCAATGTGTACGCACCTCGTGCCCAGGCTGCTTCTCAGCGTGGTCAGCAACCTTGGTTAGCAGCTCCACGGCCTCGGTCAAAGACTCGGCGCTGGTGCTGCAGAGAAGAAATACGAATCAATGAAGAGACTGGGAGTGCTTTGAAGGTTAACAATTCCATCACTGTAAATCTCGGAAGAAGAAAGGTTACGACTGCTGCTCCAGCAGACAGTGACGTGGACTAACAGGGTAAAGGGGCAATGACGACTCATTGAGAAGCGATCAACCGAATACGGCCTAAAGAAACGAGTCAAGGAGGGCCGAATGATGACGGGTCTGCACTGTTCGTTTTAGTACACCGGTGTAAGCGCACGTCCTTCTCTCATGGGCTGAAGACATGCAGAGAGATGACGTCAGAATCAAAAAAGGGTTGAACTTTCCTCTGTTGTGTCAAACCTAATGCAGATGAGCTGCAGGTATGCGAGACGTCGTCAAAGCAACAAATCTGTACTCCAACTACAGTGCGTGTTACTGTTGTACTACCTGGAACACACTAGCTTCCCATAAAGCATCCAAGATGTCAACACTTGGCACTTGGAGCCGCCTTGGCAGCTTTGGAATGGTGAGCAATACTGAAGCGAACTGATCTGTAATTGTTCTTCCCTCGTCTCTCTCAAAATGCCCCCGTACTTGGGGTAGAGTGCCAAGCTCGACGCTGCAGAGTACTTTGCAAGCCATGTCCGCCACCTTCTCACACATGAAACACTACTCCTCGACTTGTCTCCTGCGACAAAGTGCCACCAATAGCAGAGGAGTATCTCTACTTCAACCTTCCCACAATCTCCAAAATGATCGGATAGAACAAGGTCCACGAGGAGAACCAGATAAAGAGCTTCAAGCAAGCTACCTATATAGCTTTCACCATGAACAGCAGCCTGAGCGAGTAAAGGGAGCAGGCTCACTCTTCTTGGCTTCGTCACAAAGATGCGACGCCGCTCCACTCCATGCAGCCCATGTCTCGGTGCGGTTCACGACCCTTTGGCAGTGCTAAAGAAAAACAAGAACTGCAGTTAAGTTGACACTGGAGTTACTTGAGCGAAAATCTTCCAGCACACAAGTCCTGCTCTAGAGTTGAGGGTTCAACTCAGTAACCACAGGATCAGAAAGGAAAGTTGAGTACCTTACTGCAAGCGGTCAATGCCGGCTATGTTGTCAATCAGCTGAGACCCTTGCACCCCAGCTCAACCCTCGCAAGGTTGAGCTAAGGTCAAGCAACCCGTGTTTTGCTGGCCATGTGATGTAAAAGACGAGTTCCCAGCATATGCAAGATCTATCGAGAGGTTTGTTAAAGAGCCTGGAAGCATGCAGCTCAGTCGCGCCAGCTATGATTCCGAAGTCAAGCTGGAGAAGAGGGCAAAGCAGGGGCAAAATCAGACACCTGTCTGTTCGTCCTCTTCTTCCGCCTCTGGCGCGCCTTCTCCTCTGCTTGAGACAAGTAAACCCGGACCTCGTTCAGCCGGAGTGCCTCAGTGACCTTGTTGAAGAAGCCGTTGAGGGCCTTGATTATGCCTGCAGAATTTGAGGAAAAGACTGGAGTCAGTACCATAGGAAACAGGTTGTGGAGTGTCCGAGCGGCAACGATAACCTGCAGCGTTCCAGAGTATTGAGGTGTATTTTCTTCGACAACCCCAGCGCCACTGCCGCGACAGTTAACACAGCTGGCCACTCTGCGTGTTCGTTTCTGCAATTCGAAACAGGAGTTCATTTTCTGCAATTAAAAACAGTACTTGGTCTCTGGTCACGAGCGCCATGCCCAACTCAACAAGAAACAAACTCTTGTCTCACAGCTCTAATCTCTTCTTCAACCCTACTGCCATCAGCGCACGTCGCTGCTGCTGATCATGCAGCCACCAAAGTTGCCATTTCCTACTCCCTGCTTGTCATACATCATATCCTCAGTAAACAGAAGAACACCTAGAACTATGCCTTGATATTATATCTGCACGAAATCAGAATTTGCCGGGAATTTTTTTTTTTGTCTCACATATATGATATTTTCTGCAACCCTTCTGCCATCAGGGCCACTTCTGCGGCCGTTCATGCAGCTGCTTTGCAAGCTCTCCTTCTTTAAACAGCAGGACTTTGCATTTTGATCCACTCTCATCAGCTGAACAATCGATGGAAGTCTGCAGGGGCACTTACTGCTGACTGAGAGCGTTAGAAAGCGGAGTAAGAAGCGAATACCTGATGGTGACCCACCGGGCCCATTCAATGTGAAGTGCTCAGTGTCTCCTACAGCGCGTTGCTGAACTTTCCACTCAGCTCAACACGGAAGTTTGCGTCTTTGGACGGCTGCCTCAGGCCCAGCTGCTGCCCGGTTCGCAAAAAGACTCCCAAGCAGAAGATTTGCCAGCAAACCCTTCGCTGCCACTTCTAAGTATGGCGTGTGCTCTCATGTAGCTTCCCACTCTACACCCCTGGTATTGCTCCTTCTGTTTCTTAGCAGATCACGAGTGTCGCCTCCTAGTATAGGCTATTGGTCAGGTCAAAGTCTCCTCTCTGCGTCGTTTAAGTCACAGCCTCCTTGATTCTGACAAGTGACTATGCAAAAGGTTGCTCTCAGACCCAGCCCTACCTGTACTCAGTACTGTGGCAGCAACTTCAAGTTGAGCAGCTGCAGCAGGACTCGTACCTTCTCGAAGAACAATCGCCTAGCTAGTCAGCAAAAAAAAGGCGGGAGAGACTGATGACACTTCAGTGTTGCGAGCTGTGCACCGTAGGCAGCCGCAACAATTCGAAGCCTGAGGCTGAAGGCGGAAACTTGAAACTTTGGGACTCAGAATACTTCCGTCCGACCCGCCCTTACTGTCTATCCAGGGGAATTTGTAGACGAACTCCGCACCTGATGGACAGCATGCTGTCTATGAAGAGCGTAATTTGTGGGTGAGATATTCGGAAATTCGGAATTATTGAGAACTCTGGGACTGCTGTCCGAGCCGTCCGAGCCGTCCATCCAGCGGATTTTTGTAGATGGACCCTGCTCTTCATAGACAGCCCTGCTGTCTATGAAGACCGTAATTTGCGTCCACGAATATGTCCAGAACTGTCCAGACGGCGTGCGTATATGGCTTTTTCGATATTAAACCGTCCAGAGCGGGAGAAGAGCGGGTCGGGACGGAACCCTTAGCGATCAATCGAGCCACCGGCCGGGACGGTCGGGGGGACACGTGGCGGCACGGGAGTGGGCGGTTTTATTCCGGATTTCAGATGGTTAGTTGGTCATCATGATCCGACCTGCACGGTAATGGTGATGCTCCAAAGCTGATCCACCGAGCGTTCTCCTTGGAAAGGGAGCGTTCTCCTTGTCCTCCATCGCATCTACCCGGTGTGTGTGTCTACCCGCTGGCAAGCTTCGTGTTGAAGATTTTCACTGCTTCAAGTTCGATCAAGTGGCAAGCTTCTTGCTGAGTGTGGATCCGGAATGTAAAGTTGCAGCCTGTGTTGCACTGAGGAGAGTTTTGAAGCGCAGGGCCCAAGCAGTCAGCAATCTCATTGGATCTGGCATGGATCCGACAGCGGCCGATAAAACGTTTGAAGAGGCAGTAGAGAGCTTCAAGCTGGAGGGGGATGATGATACAGAAACGCTCGAGGACCTGGGCTTTACTTTCGCTGCCCCGCCAGAGACTGCGCCGCTCCTGGAGCCTTCTTCTGAGACGTGGGTTGTTTGCTGTTCTCTACCTGTCCTTGATGAGGCCAGTTTTATAGGGTATCAGGATGACCACCAGTCCTAGATTGCTTGGCAGATGCAGCGGGAGCAACCTCATGGTCTGCAGATGTTTTGTATAGGTATCCCTGGTGCTTCTTCAGTCACTCAGAACCATCCTACTGTGGGTTGGCGATCTTTAGTCCTTTAAATGGAGTTCTTCTCTCTGTACAGGGAGGAGGCCTCCCCATCCGATTTCCCCAGGGAGAGAGGGGTCCTTTTTGGAGACCCGAAGAACTTGGAGTTCCTACCCCTGTTGGCGGTTGAGGTGGACAGCAATGAAGGGGAGCAATATGTTAGCACGCGCCCAACAGTGACGGAGATCATGGCTGGCAAGGATGCCTCCCATGGCTGGAACCCGGTTGTGGCCTTCAGTAGGATGGACATGGCCCAGCAGGTCCTCCTAGTAAGATGCTGTTTGTGTTGGTCTTATGTTTGGGTCTACTTTTGATTGAACTTCTGTGTGAGACAGAAGTAAGTCGTGTATTGCATAGTCTTTCAGCCTCCGGCCTTGTCAGACTTGGCAGTGGTGAAGCTCAACTTTGATGCAATGTGCTTTGCACTGCTGTTGTGTTGCTTCCTTCTGCTGAGGATGTGAACTCTATTATCTGTCAGCAGAAGCCATGATCCAGAGAGCTGATCAAAAGAACCCTTAAAGTTACTTCCAGGCAAATTTGCAATCACTTCTGAGGTAACAATTCACATGCTGCTCCATTGAAGCAAGCAGAGCAGAGGGCTAGCAGGATGACTACTATAGCTCTTCAAGTTCCAAACAAATCTGCAGTTTTGAAAGTTATTGTGGGTGATCCTCACACGCGCATTTTCTAAGATTAGACAAAGCATATTTTGCATTGGACGTTCACATGTCTTGTACTGTTGTTCCTGCAGGCGGATAGCAGTGTGCGGATTGAGGCTGCGTGGTATGCAGATCCCGTGGCCGATGATGTCAAGTACAAGACAGCCTCTGCGTCTGGGGGCCTTGTGTCCCCCTGGGGTGTCCTGACCAACAGCCACGCTGTGCTGGACCGGGGGGACTGTACCAAGCATAGCGAAACTGTTTCTGCTCTCCAAATTGCATGCTACATACAGGGGGTCTCGGGGACAAAGGCCCGCCCAGGATTCTTTGCGTCTGCACAGGCTCGGTAAGGTTATTCTTTCTGCTGAAGAGTCGCCATTGTTCCTGGAGGTTTGCGGTTTTTAACTCAAAAGAATGCTGGAAAGGCTTAATCAGCAAAGATGCATTGTAGTCGGAGTTACTTCAAAATCCAAATCTGGATGGTGTCAAAAAACCTGCTGCTCAAAGAAATCCTGCTGCTCCAACTCTCTTTGAACCTCCTTTTGTTGACTTCGTGGGACAAGGTGAATCAGGTTCAAGGAGAGGTCGAGGCTTTGATTTTTGGGTTTCATTGCAACCGCCAGACAGGGGCGCAACCAGAGCCTGCTGGCCTGTCGCAAATCACTGGTTGTGCGGCGCACGTATATGGTCAACCATAACTGCCACAAATGGCACCTTATGTGGCATTTCGCAAACTAACCCCAGGTTTTAGTTTCCAACAGTGTGATTAGATAGTTGTGGTTTGTCCCTCCAGGCGCGTGCTCGAGGCATCGGAGGAGCTGAAACAGGTGGACCAAGTCAAGTACGCCAAGGCCAAGGTCTCCAAGGAGGCCTCCGCAGATGCCCTCCTCCAAGCTGCCGATGATGCCCGTACTCACTACGGGACTGCTGGACTCGCTCTGCCCCACACACACGACCCCGTCACCGGCGAGTACTACACCAACTTGAACGTCATGGATCCTGATCTAGCGCTTCTCACGCACTCCACGACCGGACCTGCCAAGGTAAGCGTTCTCCTGAAGTATCAGTGATTCCTTCTGGCGAATGTGCCCTTGGAGGGGCAAAGCTTTCATGTTGGGGCCATTGGTTGATCCACCCAAGCTTCACTGTTGAGTTGTGTTTGACTTTAACTGTGTCTGGGCCGTCGAGTTTCCAGCTCTTAATCTTGCTGTGGCCAAGCCATAGTTCGTGCATTGGGCCAAGATTGACACACTGGGAATTTTCCGCAGGTCCCTCTGGGCGCGCGGCTCGTGACTGTGACGAGATTGGACCCCACACCGAAAAACTCGCCTTTCATGCTGCCAAGTCTTCTCTTTGATCCTGAGCTGATGGCACGGCGCGGCTACTCCCTCAGCGCGAAACCTGCCCTTCCCATCGTGTTTGCTGGCTCGCCTGGTGAGAATGGTGGGCGCATGTGGTGGATTGTTAGTCCATCGTTTGAACATGCCCATATTGTCAAGCACTGACCAGGCCAATCATCGCTGACCAGCTTCTTGCTTCCAAAAATGCCATTGACTGAAGCTTGGCGCTCGAGTTGGAGTCTGGGCCTGGTTGATGGAGTTTGAGTGTGATTTTGGCAAAGTATCTTTGCAGGAACAAGCCTGTTGCGTGCGAGCGAAACACCGGAGGATTTCTGCCCGGAGTATCTCAAGATTTCACAAGAGAAATAGTGAGTGCTTGTTGGCTTTTGCTTCTTGAAAGTCAAGGTGCAGAAACCAGAAGTTCTGCGAGCGTCACCGGGGGGTTGGTTTTTTAGCGTACAGAAGTTGATGGAAATGTCGCAAAAGTCCAGCCTTGAATTCAAAGTGGTCGGAGTGATAGAACCAGCTGATTGAAATCTTCTGCTCTGCAGTATGAAGTCTCCCCAGGAAGCTGCAGTGCTGCTGAAGCAGTCGGCTCAGGCAGCATTCAGCCACGTCCATGGGGTCGCCTTCTCAGTTGCTGTTGTGGCTTTGCACAAGAAGAAACTCGTGCTGAACGACACGTATGTGGGCCACAGTGGGCTGACCAACGCTGGCTTCTCAGGCGCCAAGGGAGTAGGTTCTCGTCTCTTTTCTCCAAGTATGCCTTTTCTCTGGCCTTGTGCTTGACTGCAAGATGTTCGCTGTTCCAATGCTCATTTTCGATCAAGTTTTAATGCCTAAGGCAGTGTAAACATGTTCTAGTGCCAAGACAGTATCAGGAGATGTCGAGCTCTTTGCTGGTTAGACTCTGTCATTGATGTTTGCTCCTATGCAGACAGACCCCTATGCACCTCTTGGCACGTTCCAGTACGTGCACTGCGGGCCAGCTGAACTGGTGAGATACTCGCTTCTGATTGTGCCCGCTAGCTTCATGGCGGAAGCTGTTATGAGACTGCTTTGTCATGGTCACTTGCCCTCCCTTTCAGCGAACCCTTCGCTGATTTTGCAATAGTACTTGAGAGATTTCACCACTCTGGCACCCCAAGATGAACCTAGTTGTTTCTCAAACCTTGATCTAAACTGTCACACTGCGGTGACGATGTAAAGTCGTGGAACAGGCCCATACGATGCAGGTGATGTCTCGCTCAGGGGGTGTATCCATTCTTGCAGCACTACGTCCGGAAGTACGTCGAGTGGGCTGACATGGAGCGCGAACGGTTTGGGTACGATGCCACGACGCAGAGAGTGATCCCGCCCCCCTACAACGTCGCCATCCCGTCGCATAGCCCCCGCTTTGCTGTGACGGTTGTTGCTCACCTGATCCGAGTGCTCAACCCCTCTGGGGCATTCTGGACGCACCCGAAGTTCCCGTGGGCTACGTCAGCCTTGCCGTCATTCCGCCGTCTCGTCGTGAGTTCTGGTGCTTTGTCTCTCTTAAGTGGGAGCACATTTTCAGACTCATCCTTCATTGAAGCTGTCCAATGCTTCTCAGGAGCCTGCCATCAAACAGAGATATGAGACTGTTGGCCAACCACTACTTATGGAAGGGGCTTGTAAGATATTGGAACTCATATATTCTTTCATTGCATTGGAAATGCTTGTCCAATCCAAACCTTCCCTTAAGCGTTTCCTTTCCCTTTGCCGCAGCAATACCATCTCCCAGTCCTCGTGCACCTGAAGGATCTCGGCCCTAACTGGAAGAAGTGGTTGGAGCTCGTCGTACGCGATCGACACGTGCCCCCCCAACTCCAAATGCTGGACGACAACCAAGCGGACCCCAGCAGCCCTGATCGGGTGAGCCCTTCCGTCAGACACCCGGTATGGAACAGTGTCTCTAAGGTCCCTCCTTCGGGAGCGATTGGTTGTGCTGGTCGTTCTCAAAATCAGCAGCGGGATGCAGTGCGCTGCTCATGTACTTCTGTTCTCTTCTGTTCCAGCCAGTTGCCCCCATCCAGGTTGCCCGCTGTACAGTTTATCTGAGAGAGTCAGGTTGCCCGCTGTTTAGTCTCTTCTGAGGAGAAAACAAGTACCTCTGTGGGTGTTGGTATCTCAGTTTTTGCAAGGGGTCACTTCGGGAGTCTACGATGTACTGTCGATGTTGTTGCTGCTTTCGCTCTGTGGGCCTTCGAAAATTTACGAAGGCTTTTACAAAAGGCTTACAGAGCCTGTGGGCTTTGTGCTCCATCCACTTTATTTATGGGAGCCGGGAGCCGTATCCTTGAGATCGTCCTTTGTTGTGCGTCTTTGCTTCTCGCACTTGGCATGCTTTCAGAAGCTGCCAACTCTCTTTCGACCCATTAGAAATTGCTGCTGCTGATCAAATCAACTTTGGTGAAGTCAGCACCTGGGTGGACTGCACTTGCAGCACGAAAGCCTGCATGGTTACGTCCCTGTTTGTGTCTGGACCATAGTGAGGTTTACAAGTCAGAAAGAAACATCTGCAAGGAACTCTGCCAAGGCTGGACCTTTGCACCGACTTGCATCATATAATTATCAGGTGGGGCAGGCTCTTGTCAAGCGTGCGTTTGGTTCCTTGTGGTGCTGATTTGGTCTTTGTTTATCTTGTTGGCAGGAAGACTTCAAGGCGCTTGTGCGGGGCAAGCTGAGCGAACAGATAGCGGCATATCTGGGCAGGGACGTTGTGGTGAGGCCTCATAAACGGAACGTTTTCTATATCTTCATTAAGCGTACGTTTGAGGTGGACTTGCGGAATCAGCGAGCATGCAGATTGATGAGCGAGATGTTGAGTGGTTTATGCTTCGATCGTGATTTTCCACATGCGGAGTGGCTGTGCAAGCGTTTATGTCATACAAAAAAATGTCCCCTGTCGAATCTCTCTGCGTTATTGCCATCTTGCAGGACTGGAGGCGCATGGCAGCGCAGACCCGACTGCGGGTCGTGATTGCTGAGTTCGCGGAGCTGTTCACCGAGAAGGACGATGAGGACAACTACCGGAGGCTGCCGTACGACCTGAGGAGCTGGCCCTGGGCACTGCCGGACGGCTTCGAGCTGCGGAAGTGGGAGGATGTGCTGTGGTTGTTCCGGCGGCTGAGGCTAGAGAGGGACTCCATCCGGAACTACCTCCCGGACGACCTCTTGGTGAGCCCCCTGATGCGCACCCCCTCTACGTGGACAGGAACAGAGAAGCCTTAGCATGTTAAAGGCTGGAACGGCACACGTAATAGTGGCCCACTTGTCTATTCTGAACCTTGTCTCACACGTACCCTGGTTTGTCCTCATTCTTTCATCGCCGCTCCAAGCCTAGTTTCCAAAAGTATAAGTTCAATGCGCCGGTGCCTCTTCAGTAGCTCGTGTTTAATCAAGAAGGTCAGGCTCAGCCTGGTTTGCAGCGCCATCAAATTGCCTAGCGTGTCAGCTTTGCTATTGTCGCGTACTTTACTGACTAATGGACATCCACTCGTTGCAGGCTACACGGGATAAGCAGTGTGTGCCGCCTGACGATGACGAGCAGGCGAAACCAGCCGGTACATCCTCGCCCCAAAATAACAACACCTAGCTAAGAACCAATTGCAACGAAGTGAGGGAAGTAGAGGAGAGCGCCGAGAGAATCTTCTGGGGTGCAACTTCGGCCGAACGGATCTGAATTTCAGCAGTCGCGGCGAAGAGAGCCATAGCGGGTTGTTTGCTGATCTGAGATTGGCTGGGAACAAATATTGATTCCATTTCTACAGATGTCTTAATATCTAGGATACGATTTGTTCCCGTGCCAATGGCTGCACCCAGTACTAATAGGTCATGTGCATCCGAGTCAATCTTGATGCGCTTGATATGTGCCGAGATGCAGTCACGAGACAACCAAGCTTGTAGCAGCATCTCCAACATACCATTGCAGAATCCAACAATAATTCGCCGCTTGTATAAGGCATGGCCGGCCTCGGCCCGCTCGCATAAGGCTTCGTACTAGTCATCACGATTCATTGATTCGGAGCTTAGGACACACTCTCAGTCACGATGTGAGGTATTATTGCTTCCTAATCTGAGTGCATCCGACAAAGATCTGAATATTGCTCGGAACTCGAGAATCCTGCATAGGAGGCTACTTAGAAGCTGAAAGTTGATGGAAAAGGTTTGATTGCCTCAGGTCCATTAGTGTGTCTATCATTTTTCAGGAACAAGCATCGGACGCTTGAACAACCGAAGGCATTACCCTAAAATTTCAGGCCCCTACTAAAGACCTGCTAAGTACTATGCACAGTCGAGCAATCGATATACCTGGGCTTGCTCGTCGACAACTGTCTGCTCCTGGTTGCATCCAAGAGCACGCGCTGCGAATCCGACTCGAGGGCCCACTTCCTGCAAATATCAGATCAGTCATCGTCAAGGCTGGGGACCACGTCGCCATGTGATACACACACAGAAAGACGAGCAATGCGAACGCGCACATCTGGGCCTTCAACTAGTACGTACTGTATCTGCATCTCGGTGAAGTCACTAACTGCAAGCTCCTATGCTGCAAGTACGACCGCATATTCACCTCTGGAAGTGCAGTCGTGGGGACAGCAGCAGATGCCTTTCCTCAGAATCTTGCGAGAAGATGATGCGGCGACGCTTCCTGTCAAGCGCTTGCCCTGTCAATATCATGGGGCCGAGGTCCTCTTCGAGTGAAGCTTCGCCTGACAACCTCTTGCCCACACTGCCGTGCTGCTGCTCAACTAAGGGGCGGCAAGACGGAGCCACCTGTGAAATACGACAATTGCCGGATGTCAAATCTGGCTGCAAGCAAACCCCAGTGAGCTTCTATTAGCAAAGGGTGCTGCGCCGCATACAGCCACAGGCCATGTAGCATGAGCCTCGAAACTTGATGTTCATGCTTCAATCAAGTTGGCACACCCATGACAACCAGCTGCAACAAGTCACCGTCAAGCTTGCACGAATAGCCGCCTTTAGGCTTCCGTTCTTACCTTGCGTATGCATGGTGGTGGTGTGCTGAATCCCTTCTTGAAAGCGCTGCCGGAGGTCCAAGGGAACGGAGAGGTAGGCGAGAACCCCTGGACAAGTATACATAATCATGAGCACCGCATCAACTGGTCTAGAGACCCATTTTATGAATGCAAGGTCACACTAGACTGCACTCAGCAAGGATACTAGAAGCAGACTGAAGCGCGCGGCTAGAAAGAACCAGATTGTGAAGTCCCTGATAGTCTGACCCCATGTATATGGACTTGGGATAGAGCAAGGCCTGCCAACCACGTTGAAGCAATGTGCGAGTGACTCACCGGAGCCCGGCTCTTCTTGCTCTTCTCAAGATCTTTCGGTAGTTGAGCTGGGCTGAGACTGTTTTCATTCGTGAGTGCCCGGTAGAAGTTCGGGCCTTGGATGCTTGCGGAGTCTTCATCATTCAAGAAACTCTCTAGAGAACGTCCGGACTTGGACCCATCAACAGATCGAGCAGCGTACTCAACACCTTGAATGTCCTCGCCTTGGGATTCTTCAGATGCTGATGAGCCGCTGGAGAAGTGAAAAACGATCGCACATCAGCTGACTGTTAACATGAACGGCGGATGGCATTTTGATGTCAACTTTTCGTGCAGCTTATCAATCTGTGCCTTGTAATCGAGCTGGCAGCGCTACCAGCCAGTAGCCAGTTGAGCCTTCAGCTTAAAGCCCCCCATCTCCACTAGCAGGATGGGCGACGCACCCCGCTGCCTGACTACGCTAAGTAAATCTTGCTGACTTTCCTCACAGATGCCACACTAGAGCTGACGTCTCTCCATACAGAGCTGCCTGCATAGAAGCGATGCAGAGGTCGTGAGCCAGGGGCTGGCCCGGAATTGTTGCTTCGTCTACAACGAACAAGGGGGAAGGGTCCCGAACAGCCCTTCCTCCTTGCTTGTAACAGCGCAAGTACCTTTCCCAGTGGAAATGCAAATTGGAAGCCATTGCCCGCAGCTCGTAATGCAGCTTCAATGGTGGTGCTCTCTGCCAGCTATTTTGATGGCGCTGCTCCTATTATGCCGACGGCTTGGAGCTGAGTGTACCGGAGCTCAGTTTTGGCAGCTCAACCTGCGGTTCAATGCTGGTGACCCCAGATCAAGCAGGCTGCGCACAGTTGCTGATGCCCATCTGTGGAGCTGCCCTCCACCACCTGACCAGCTCAAATTGCTCGTAGCCCGGTTCCACCCTGGCAGATTAGGCCGGCAGTGTCAAAGTATTCTATGGCCCGGGTAAAAAGCGAAGCTAGTCAGAAGTGACGCTGAGACTAGAGAGAATGCTTGCGGTGGCCTGGTCCCATTTGTGCATCAGCAAGGGCCAAGACTGAGCAACTAATCATGGCTCCAGCCACAGAGAAAGAACAGGTCCCGGCCGCACAGGCACCACCCACAGAGGACGGTGCAGCAAGTCAGGACGCACAGGAAGCTACCCCAGCTGACAGCTCGACGATCTTGCTCTCTGTCTCTGCGCCCGGGGCGGCAACTCATGTTTTAAACGTACATATGATCGGCTGAGAGTCTGAATATATCGTGGCTTTTACTAGTTTATAAACAATGCCATTTAAACAAGAAGAACATGTTTTATACCAAAAAAACGTGTTTAAACCGTGTTTTAAACCAAAAACATGTTTGTTTAGGTATTATGTTTATCGGGCTCAAAAAAACGTGGCTTTGCCCGATCATATGTACAAACACGTTTTGAAGTTTTAAACATGTTTATTCATGTTTATTTATTTCCAGGGGGGGTCAATCTCAAAACCAAGTATGTTTTTGGAGAGCTCTAACTGAGCTCGTATCAAAAACAATAGCGAATATATCCAATTCATCACAAATTGTTGAATAAACATTGTTTTTTCTCAAAAACATTGCTCACGTTCAGTACCCTAGTTGCCGCCCCGAGCCTCTGCGAGGCGCTCCGACAGTCAGAGACCGGATCGCTTTAGCGTCCGCATGTGCCTGCACTTCAGCGACGGCCAGCTCGCGCATTTGCTCATTCTGCTGACGGATAGCCGTCAT